CCAAAGCTGAGGAGAAAAAAGGCAAAAGTATTGCTACTTAGAGAAAAATTCAGGGTATAGGAACATGACAATGTTTTGGTACAGTGTTTTTCTTTGTGGTGTTGGGTTTTGTTTTTGTTTTTGTGGTTTGTATTTGATTGTGGGGTGGTGTTTTTTTTTTTTACTAACTGCTCTTCCCTGCCCTGCATGTCAGTGAATGCTTCTTTGGTGGTACCTAGACTCCTCCTAGAAACTTCCCCTCTCTAGTGTCCTGCATGATGCATGTCAGCTTGCTTTGCTTAGCTTTGCTGTGAGCCACTTAGAAGTCACCCAGGGATCGCTCAGGTGGGTGGATTACAGACTGTAGGTCAGTGTGTGGTGCACACAGTCCCTTTGTATCCTTCACTTCACTGCATTAAAAATTCAGCTTGATATCTTCAGCTATTGGTGCCACCCATCTAAACAGAAAACAGAGCTGGGTTTGTTTGCAGATGAAGCTTCCCCTTTGGGACAGGTAGTGCTGCTCGAGGAGAAGTGGAAAACCAGGTCAATAAAGTCCTTGTTAAGATGTAAAAAGTTGTAACACTTTCTGGAATTATGAAGAGTTCACTGATGGTGTCAGCAGCACGGGAGCTGTTTGCAATGAGCAGACTCTGTGAGGAAGCAGCAGCTCTGTGGGATGGTCTGACCTGTCTGGCAGACGTTCACCTCCTCTCCCTACAAAACTGCCCACCTGATCGTGGAAAAAAGGACAAAATCTTAACGCGTAGTTAAAATATTTTCCCTATATTCTTTAATGCAAGTGTCAATCATCTTAACCTTTTTCATTGCTGTATGCTCATTTTTCTCCTTGGCAATTAGTAAATGTTGGATGTCAAATTAAGTTGAAACTAATGGCAGAGGCAAATGTTGCAGTTATTAGCTCACGAGTGTCTTTAACTAGTAGTGCGTAGAGAGGCATTCCAAGCATTGCAAACAGCTATGGATTAACCATCAAACGGTGGTGAAGATTGATGATTGGCCTTTTAGCTCACTAATTTAGAACAATTTCTAGTAATTAATTTTGTATTAACAGCTTTACAGTTGCAAATGCCTTAAGGAAAATAAAAAATGACTTAAGTACGTTTAAGGTTCTTCAAGCTAACAGTTGTCTTGTAAATTGTTGCATGCTTGCAGATCCCCAGGTTTAGTCTTTAATACCTTTAAATACTATCTCTGTCTACTTGTATTTAGTAATCATAATTTCTACTTATTTTGCATTTTCCTTGATACTGCTTTGATTAACCTTAGGTGTTTTCTTTGTAGAATGTATTGCTTGGCTTTGTGAACTTGTGTGCTCGCATGTCATGCAGTGGAAGTGAGGGGGAAGAGCTGGCCAGTGCCTCCATCCCAGTGTATATTTATTAGTTTCCCATCAAACCAAATTACAAATTAATATAGTGAGCAGAACTGTTTATACAGGCTTGTCAAAAAGTTGGATTTTACAAAGCAGTTCCTTAAATTTGTTTTCTTTTTTATATAAAGAAGAAACTCCCAAACTCAAAATATGCGTTTGAAAAGTACTGGTTTAGGTTCTCTACATAACGTTGTGCTTTGCTACTTTAATTTCACTACTATTGAAAGAGCAATTTTTAATACATTAAGTGGCATGAATTCTTCCTGATGTGTATGTTGGAAGAAGAAATTGCTATCCTTTTGGAGTTCTTTTTGTGTGCTTGTTTCGGGTTTTCTTTGAGTGTTCTGTAGTTCTGTGCTGTTTAAGATTCCTTACTGTTGTCTCTCGTTGCATCTTCTTGCATTGTTCCTAAATCAACCTAGATCCTCATCAGATTTCACTTGGATTTATCTGCCCATAAGTTTACATTGCCCAACTGTAAAGCCAAGTTGTCTGTATTGACCTTCTTCCTTTAGTTTTTTTATCTTCTTTTTTTTTCTTTGGGAGTAGCTATTAGCAGCACTGAAGAGCACAGTTTGGTTTCCAGTATTCCTCTGTAATGGGTTCCAAACCATTGTCTCTTCCCTATTTCACATGAGACTGATGAAATTATAAGTCTAATGAGACTGTGAAATTATATTGCATCCCTGTATCATACATTGTATTTTTAAGTGTTGACTGTAGCTGGGCAAAGATCAGCTTGTTGTGAAGTTGGATCTCTAACCTGTAGTCACTAGAACTCATACTTGCCAACAGTCTTAGCTGGAAAACAAAAACTCCTCAGTTTGTAATACATGATTCATGTTAACATTCTAAATGAATCCAAATCTCTGTGGTGCCTGTCTGACTTCAAGGGAGCACGTGTAGGTTATTGGGCAACACACACCAGGAGACTCTTCTAAGAGCCGGGTGAAAGAAAGTAGCATGGGAAGGTTTTGAATAATGAATAAGATAAGTAGATGTTGCTAATAAATCCTTTGGGGCTTTGCTGGAACAGTGGCTGGTTTTTAGATAGGATGGTTTGTCATTGGGTTATAAAAAAAAGAGTCTTAGATCTAGGTGAACTTTTCTTTTAGCAGTGAAATTTTAAGTGTTTTTAAAATTAAGGGGGAGGTTATTATGTGAAGGAAAGAGCTTGCAGTTGTGAGGGCTCCATTGTTGGCAAGGAAATAAGAACTTAAGCTACTTAGAAGAACTGAAATGCATTTAAAGTTATATTCCTTGATGCTTGCAACTTATTTTAACCAGGTGTGTAGTTTACTGAAGCACTTGGATGAATAGCACAGGTAGCTGCCAGCCCTGCAGAACATCTCTGTGATTCATTCCATTGAGTTTGAGTTGTTCCTGTTACTGAACATGTTCTGAGTTGTGCACTGCTCCCCGTGGCACTCAGGTTTGCACGTTGAAGGAAATCATGTTTGTAGGAGGTCCCTCCAGCCACTCTCTTGTGATGAGCTTAGTGCCTATCCCAGTTTGTACTGGGGAGGTGTGGGCACAGCAGTAATAGTGTGCCTTCTGGAAAGCACCTATGATGAGTTTTGGTGAAATAAACCAACAGTCTTTTTATTTGTTGAATGTCTCCTTTGTACTTGTTGGAATAAAGCTTTTTAGTAGTTTTGGAATTGGATGAAGCAACAGGGAGAGAGAGAGAGGAGGGAAAGCCAGCTGGAGATAGGCTTAAGTTGTCAAGACTTCTTTAGAAAAGTGCTTTGACCAAAAGTAGCAGCTTTGCCTAATTATGTTTTTGAAAACTAAAGTGAGCTTATTAGCATGGTCTATTTTGGGTTACTTTTGACATGCTGACCGTGGTACAGTTCAGGAATGGAGTATTTCTAAAATAATAATGACTCCCACATGTTGTATTGAGCAATAGCCTATAATAAAATATTTCATGGATCCCTTGTGACAGATGGATGAACTTTCAGTCATTTCTAACCGTTCACACTTTTTTGTTTGTAAGTAACTGATTTAAAACTACTACAGGAAGACTTTTTTAGAAGAGGAAGATATCCCAGTTCCATTGCTAGAGACTCAAGTTTCAATTAAATTAATTTGAACAAATAACATGCTTCAGGTCATGTGTTAGAATACTACACTGCTACTACAGGATTTCATATTTGATTGATGGAGAAAATAGTATGTTAAAAAGCTAATGTTGACAACACAACCGGCAAGAATATTCCTTTTAATCTTTGTTCTTTCTTTGTTCCTCAGTTTAACTATAGTTCCTAGTACCTTTTTAACCTGTCAAGTTAATTTTTGACTTACATGTATCATCTTAAGAGAAAATATTCCTACTGACTGATCATCACTTTGAATACCATGTACATGGATGAGATGTAAGTGAATGAGTTTTAGATGAGATCCAAATGAACGAGTTTAGAATTTAAGAGAATAAAAAAAAAAGTCAATTCATATATTTAGTAAAATGTACTGCTCTGCTTCATCTATGGACAATTTTTGTGATAAAGATAATAGTTTTAAAAAAAAACACCCCTCAGCTGCAGCTTATACACTGGGAAAATGTTGAGACCTGAGCTTTACAGATAGATGAACACTTCTGTTACAGAAGATAAATCTAAATCTGAAATGGAAAGGTATGGATAAGGTAAATTGAATGACAGCATAATAAAAACTTCAGTTTAGTGAGATTTTCTTTCAACACACAGCTATTTATTTGGGCAAATTAGTTTTATCAGTTTGTATATAAAGAATATTTTATCAGGAAATTTTTTTATATACCTAAAACCAATCAAAATCCTTTTCAGCTGTTCTTTAGAATCTTCTCACTTTAATCGGGTTGTGTGGCTGTTCTCCCCTGCCATTTGGACTGGGTGAAGAGCATTCACCAGAGGAAGAGTCCTCTGGAGAGTTTTAGGTCTCATTTGGAGATCCCCAGGATCTTCTCTCTGCTCTGACTTTGTGGAACTGTGTGTTTGTGTAAACTTCTCAGCTGTTTATTCAGCTCTGTGGGTTGTTGAGCATACTCAAGGTGCTAAAGTGATGTGAAAGCTCAGCTCTAGTAAGTGCTCCTGCTGCTTGTCCCAGTGTCTCTCCTTACAAAAAATAGGAGCATGTCAGCTACCTCCAGTTTAACAGTTCTCTAAATGTTATTCTGTCACATTTTATCTGCACCCTGTTCAATTACAAGAATGCAAGTACCACAGATAACTCTAATTAGAGATGGCTGCAATCAGCCTAGGAAGTAATGCAAGTGTTGTCTGTAAATATTAAACTTGAAACATTTCCCCTTCTTGTACTAGAAGTAACCTTTAAAACTCTGAGTTCTTCTACTCAACATTTAATTTCCTGTCTGTAGGATTTCTTAGGATCCATCTAGAATTTTTTTACTCTGGTCTTACTTTTTTTTTTCCCTTTCTTTTGGCCAGGAATAGCAGGTACCCTGGAGAAAGACTTGCTGTCAGTTGAGGTGATCTCCAACATGAAATTATTTTTTTATCATAAGGACAGTATTCAATATAAATTTGTGGTATAACTTTGTGATTTGGACAATGATTTTGACTTTTTCAGAGAAAACAGTCATTAATACGTAATTCTTAATGTGCTTTCCACTCTGTTATTTTAGGTAACTTTTGAAATGCACAAGGAGAGTCTTTCTCAAATGTACAGGGAGTACCAAGGGAAAGGCAGTGAAGGGACTGGAATATGTTCTACAACTCCCATCAGAACAATCTCTGGAGTAAGCAAAGAAACTGAAACCAAGGGAAGGCAGCAGTGTTTGGAGTCAAAAGAAGATGCCTCTGCTTCTTCCTCCATTGTTGATGATGATATAGAGTCCAGCACTGAAAAGAGAGAGACAAATACCTCACCAGATGGTGACCAGCAAACTCAATCAGTGTCTAATCACAGGGAGGAGTTAGGGGAGGAAGACACAGAGACTCCAGAGGATTTGAAAGCAGCGCCTGGTGCCCAATGCTCTCCAGAGCCAGGAAAGCCCAGTGTTTCAGAAATTAGTACTGGACTAGCTGAAGCAATTGAGGATTCTCTGAGCAAAGCTGATGAGCTTGTGGAAGAAACAGTAGCTGATGGTGCTGCTCCTTTAGCAGTGCAAACTGCTTTGGAAGGAGAAACTCTTGAAAGTCCAGAAAGACTGGAAAAATCCTCGTTAGAGGTGGAGGATGAAGATGACTTTGTTGATCTGAAAGAGGAAAGCAGTATACCTTTCCCTTCAGGAGAGTCTGCAGAAACAAACAAGAAACATAACTCTAGTGAGAGTGAAGTGGCACAGCAGGAAGGATCAGCAGAGGAGCAACCAGAATCTGTGCTTTTAAAATCCAAAGATACTGAAGGTGTGGATGGGAACAAAGAGGAGCCGGTTTCTCTACCACAAACAGTGAGTTCTGCAGTTCAAGAAGTAGTGGCTCAAGAAGAAGGGAAGAAGGAGCTGGAGGAAGAAAAGATGGTTCCTAGTGAGACCAAAGCAGCTGAAGAAAATGCAAAGGCACTCTGTGTGCCAGAGCCTCCTGGAGCCTCTGACAGGAGAATCGCCAGGCTTGATGTCTCTAGTGTTGCATCGGATACAGAAAGACTGGAGCTGAAAGCTAACACATGTCTAGAAGCACCTCTGCCCCCCAGATCCATTCCTGAGGTAAATTACACCTGTCCTTTTCTGTCTAGCTTAAAAATAAAAGGAAGTTCTTTCTTTATGGGGTTTTTGAAAAGATGTGCCCATATGCAGTTTGGGGAATTTCAATGTGTGAGGATTTTGGGAGTTATCTAAAGAATACTTTCAACCCTTCCTTAAAATAGCCATAACTCTTACTAATTGGTGTGCTGAGAAGTCTCTAAGATTTTATTCTTTGTACATCTGTTTATGAATGCTGATGGAGACTGAGTATTTGGCTGGATGGACACTTCTGTGTTGGTAATTCTGTTCTTAAGTTTGAAGAATTGAAAGAAACACCTTCAGAGCAGGTTTTATCTGGAATTTCTTCTGCTTCTTTATTCAACTTCCCTTTTTACTCTTTTGAGTCTGGTCTTTTATAACCTCAACTCATAATTATTGAGAAGCAAACATTGCTCGTGCAGGAAAAAAAACCCAAAAGCACTAAGTTTCTTTCATGTCTGGATGGAACTTGTGGAAATATTTTTATGCTGCCTACTCTACAGGTACAGGAAAAAAACAAACCAAAAAAAAACCCCACCACTATAAAACTTTGTAGGATTGTCACTCCCTGTCAACCTACCTCTTTTTGTGCAAGTGTAATTTAAAACGGTTCTGCTGCATCTCTTTTTGTGCAAGTGTAATTTAAAACTGGGCTTCTGCTGCACGCTGCAGTGCTCCACCCCTCTTGTCTTTAGTTTCTAAGTCAGCTTTTCATGGTTGAATAGTCACCTGTCTGAGTACTTCCCTCCTGCAGAGTTACCTGCTAATGGATGCTCTTCATTCCGCACCATTCTTCCTTAAAGGAGGAAAACCACTGTCTGCAGCCACATACAGTGCCCCTGTGGTAAGGCTGGGTTGGTGCCTGTGGATGTGGTGGTGCAGCTGGGGACTAGTCTGTAGGTTTGGCATAGCCAGTAGATAACATCTGTGTGGTAGTTGCAGCTTTGTGTGTAACCCTGTGCACAGCCTCAGCTTGTTGGAGATCTAGAATCTGGAGTCCGCCAAACGCATTTCAGTGTATGCCATGGAAAATAATTATCAGAGCATGATGGTTTGTTCATTTTTATTCTGCACACTGTGTATTCAGACGTCCAGGCAGCAAGATTCTTCAGGACAAGGAGTAGCTGCACCATCAGACGGGCAGAGAAGAGACTCTAGGTCGACTGTGTTCCGCATTCCCGAGTTCAAGTGGTCAGCGATGCACCAGCGCTTGCTCACTGACTTACTCTTCTCCATAGAAACAGACATACAGATGTGGAGAAGGTAATTTCTGTGCTTTGGGGAAGGATCCACACTGGCATTTCAATTCTAATTAAATTGAGATTATTTTGAAACTGCATTGGAGTCATTCTTTAACTCTGAGTTTTGCACGTCTGGTGTTTTACTCATTGTTCAGTAGCTGTACTTATTTTGTGACCTATGCCCACATTGTCTTAGGTGGTTTTTAAGACTTTACAGACATAAATGTGTATTGGTTGAGGGCCTGCCTGCACTTATGTTGCTGCTTTGATAGGGTTCTGTGAACACAGAGATGTTTTATGCATTTAAAAATTAACTTGTAGTAGGAATATGGAGTGTAATTATCCAGGTGAATTTGGTAAAAAAAGGAAACTTTGAAAACAGTGGTAATTCTGCATTTTAATGTTGAGATTTAATAACTTAAGAGTGGTGTCTGTTCTTTGCTTGTGGTAGTGAATGTCAAATTTAAATGGATCCATATAGCTGTACTGACCCAATAAAAAGGAACATAAGGATGAAGAAATAGGTGAAGTGATTAAAACAACTCAAACTGAGATGAATTTTTGTCTGACTATAATTTTTATGATACGATTAAATTAACCTCTGTCAAGGTGTAGCTAAAATGTAGTTTTAGTTTAGGTTCAGTTTTGAAAATCTATTTCCATGTTTAAGAGGATTTAAGGTTTTGTTTTCTTGATTTTTTAATTTCTCTGAGAAGCCCTTAGTATTTACTTTATTTTTCCAAAGATGTCAGGTTGAATCTAGTTCATACTTGTAGGAAACTTTATTGTATGGCCTGATACAGTGACTTTTGCTATAGCTTTATCCAAATAATGGTTAATACACTTCTTAATGTTTTTAGCAAGATGTGGTCTGGAGAGATTTAAGAACCTAAAGGAAAGGTAGTTTTAGGTTTAGATTAAGGTATGTCAGCTGGCCCTTACAGTCATATGTTATTTGCTGCCCCACTGCGGACTCTGGTTTTAGCCTTGTGAAAGCACAAAAATGCTAAAATGCCACAAAAATCAGACTGTGTTCTGGGTTATTTTTCTGGACAGCCATTCTACAAAGACTGTGATGGACTTTGTGAACAGCAGTGACAATGTTGTGTTTGTGCACAACACGGTGCACCTCATCTCTCAGGTGATGGACAACATGATCATGGCCTGTGGTGGGATATTGCCTCTGCTCTCTGCTGCCACTTCAGCTACGGTAGGAGATCCCATTTCTGTTGGAAAATATTATCTCTTGTGGGAGAGTGTCCTGTATTAACAGTTACACTTGTTCTTTTGGGGAGCAGCAATGTGTGTGTGGCATTTCCACAAGCCTCTCTTCACTCCCTTTGCTACCTCCATGCTTCCCCTAAGGTAAATTGGGTCTTTGCCCTCTTTGCCTGGAGACATAAAGAGCAGTTGCCTAGCTTCATTGTCCCACAGTGCCATGGGATGGGATTAAATCCCAATACTAATCATTGCTCCTGGAATATGAGCAATTACTACTTTTGAATGTGACTTCCAGCATACATTTTTCTTCATTTAAGTGGTAGGAATATCACCTTTATGAAGAAGTAAATCTTTTGCTTTCAATTTCTCTATGTAGCATGAATTGGAGAATATTGAGCCAACCCAAGGACTTTCAATAGAAGCATCTTTAACATTTATCCAGAGACTAATCAACCTTGTGGATGTGCTCATTTTTGCAAGCTCTCTTGGTTTCACTGAAATTGAGTCAGAGAAAAATATGTCATCTGGAGGAATTCTACGTCAGTGTCTGCGTCTGGGTAAGCAAAGTAAAGCACTGAAGGAGCACAGGAGCTTGCTGGTGCTGAACAGCAATTGTTAGCTGTATTCTTCTGTCCTTTTCTTTGTTAAATCAAGATTAAATTCAGTTAAAGAAGCATTGGGATCTTTTACTGTTTTACTATATTCTGCAGTGTATATACACAGGTTTCTTTTACTCTTAAAAAAGTTTCAAAAACTAACTTTGGTAGCCTGACTGTTTTCATTTTATCCGTGAAGATACATCTTTTGCCAAGGTTACCCTCAGAGTCAAGGCTGAGAATACAAACCCATGAATCTTCACATGGAGAAAAAGATGTAGAATGAATGTATATATTTCATTCAAGATGTAGATTCAGGATTCATTCATTCAAGATGTAGATGAAAGTATGTAGAAAAGAGTTTTAAATCTTGAGGTCAGTAGATGAAGGTGTGATGAGAACTAGAGATGTGCATTTCTAAAGAGCAGGGTTCAAATTAGGCAGTAGTTGTATCCAGTATCATGTTAAGTTTGCATCAAATTGGATTGAAAGAAAGTGGTCATTACTTAAAAAAAAAGTAATGACTGTTCTGGAAATGGGAACATAAAAGGTCATGACTGGGCTCAGCTGAAACAGGAGGAGAGTGAATATTCATGCTAGTTGCATGCTGTAAGACTTTTCATAATGAAAAGTTTAATTTGCATGAGTGGCAGAGCAGCTCAGAGGCTCACCAGTAATTAGCCTTCCTCTCCCTTTCTAGGCAATTAAAACTTTGTGCAGGTAGAACGAGATTTATGGGATGCAAACAGGTAGAGAGGTGGGGTAGTTCTTTTTTCCTTTGAGAATAATATTGGAAGATTAAACAGGTACAACTGTGAAGCTAAAAAAATAATGGAACTTCAGAACATTTAGTCCTTGAGTAACAAAGCACTGTGGAGCAAATGCTGCCACTTGTTTCACTATTGTTTTACTTGTCTTTCCTCCTTGCTAGTCTGAATTTAACTGTCTTCCCCCTCCCTGCCCCATGGGATGTGTGCCTGGTGAAATTTCAGTGATGGGTGCTGACTTGCTCACTTGGAAGTATCCGTTAGATACAGCATACATGTTTTAATAGTTGAGTATTAATTACTAGTTATAAATTAATGACTTTTGAGCATTGTTTTGTGACTATTTAAAATTTATGGAAACAAAATATCATTTTACTGATGTGCTCAAACTTTGTAGTTTAAGTGATAAACAGAAATGTATTCTATGCCTCTGGGAGGGCTATGGACAATGCTGTTTCCCAGAGTAATTCTTCACATTGCTTTTCCCTTCCAGTATGTGCAGTGGCAGTAAGGAATTGCTTGGAGTGTCAGCAGCATGCACAGATGAAACCTATTGGAGATGTGAAGAACCAGAAAACAGTGCAGGGCTTTGCAGGAGCAGGAAAGTCTGCAGCAAAGGCAAGTGTGAGACCACACTCGGGAACACAGCAGTCAGTGATTATTGCTCTGTACAGGGGGATAAGTTTTGAGGTTTAGATCTCCACCACTGTTACTTTACCAGAGGTGAAGGGCATGAACACTGGAAATCCTGAAGTAGTTTTTCCAAGATGTAAATTCAGTCCTTAAATATTTAACCTTCCCTGCTGGGATAAATCTGCCACAGGAATTGGCCAGATTTATTTTTCCCCCCTTTAGAGGTGAAATGCAGATCTGATCTCTGTGCTCTAGCTATGACAATACCATGTCCAGTGAATGGTTGTACACACTCAGGGATTCTTGTGCTTCTGAAAACAGAATCTGGAAGGGTTGCTTCTTTTTTTAACAGAGTCCAGTGGACATGGTGACTGGTGGCATTTCTCCAATACGAGACCATGACAGACTCCTGCAGGACATGGACATCAACCGACTGCGAGCAGTGGTGTTCAGGGATATAGTAAGTCACAAGTAACCTTGTGTTCTCTGTAGCCAGATTTCAGTAGGTATCTGCTGAACACTTGCTGTGTGTTAAGCAGTTTGGCTAAATTTGGTTTACAAAACCCCTGTACTGCTTGCAGGAGTGAGGAACTCCTGACACTCTGCAGCTGTTGCAGTGTTTGGGGTTGGAGAGAGGGAGGGGTGACAATTGCTACCTGCTGATCAGGCTCCTCAGTGTGTTCCTAGGACCTGACTCTCTGGAATACTGCCTGTTGGTAAATATGTTGTGTTTGGTAAAACCATATGCTCTTACACGCTGGCCATGGGCAAGCTGTTAATGTATACTATGCATCATAAAGAAGTTTGTGTATACCCTTTGAAAAATGAGTATCTTTCTAATTAGAAATCAGAGGTCATCTCTAATTCCTTTACTTCCCCTCAGAGGAACCAATTTGTGTGTAAATATGCATATGTTTTTTAGTCTTGGATTGACTAAAAATATCTTTGCCCTGTGTCAGCAACTTTGTAGCTGATATTGAGGAAATTGAGATTGATTGCTTAAAAAACCACCTCTGTAAGCAAGTGCAGCAGCTGCAGTGGCTGAGAGGCATTGGTGGCCACAAGCTTGGGCACTGGGTTTTACAGTAATTGGACTCTTTAGCAAGTATAATGATTTATGCAGTGACTTTTGTTCTGTCCAGAATAGTGAAGGAACTTTGGTTTTTATCTTTTCAACAATTACTGATTGAAACAAGCTTCTTTCAACCCCTACTTCAGTATCAGCATGCAGAAGAGTAACAGGAAGAAAATATTTGTACTAGTGGCAACTAAAATAATCATAGGATGGTTTGAGTTTAAAGGGACCTTAAAGATCATCTAGTTCCAGTCCCCCAGCCATGGGCAGGGACATCTTCCACTAGACCAGGCTGCTCAAAGTCCTATCCAGCCTGGCTTTGGACACCTCCAGAGAGGGGGCATCCACAAGTGTTCTGGGCAGTGTTCAAAATCAAGAACATTTTGTGCACTCATTTTTTTTTTTTCTTAAAAAAACCCCAACAATCTCCACACACAACCTCTGTGTATTTTCATATCTAATCTGTCAAGTTTTCTGTTTCACAAACAAAGATAAAATGATGCAATGATTCTGATTTTTGACTACTGTGTTGAGCTGTGGATATAAAGTAGACTTTAAAAGCTCTATTTTGGAATAGTTTTTATCTGAGCTGTTTATCTTTGCCTCTAAATATTTTGTTTGTGCATGCAGTTTCTTATGTTCAGCACATAGAATTGTAATAGGCATGATTTGAACCTGCACAGGAGGAACTCAGGTGGATTTCACAACCACCAGTAGTAGTACTTCTTAGCAGTATATGAATTTTATTTCAAGGAGTTCTGCAAACAAAGCAGAAAAAACAAGGAAGCTGTAGTGCTAATTTACTGGATCACAACTTTATTTGCTATAGTTGGAAAGAGTCTTGGAAAAATTCATCCAGCAAGAGAATTCTTTATAATCCTTACCATTGCAGAGGACTTCACCAGTGTTGTTGCATTGTGCTTAACCTGCTATTAGCTCACTCTTTTTGTCTTATCCTATGAAAGTTAAGGATTTGGGTTGAGCTGAGGGGAATAGAGGTTGTTTTTTCAATGTAACAGGTAGGATCCAGTTATGTTACTTTGTTCCTCATAGGGAACTTCTCAAAAACTTCTCCCAGTATAGTTTATTAATGAATTCTTTATAGAATGTGTAGCTACAGCAGGCACTGCAGTCAGGATAAAGTGAGCTTTGGAGTTTAACTTCATTCCTTAAACTGCTCAGAGGGAAAAATTGAATGCTACTTAAGCCCTTATGCAGATGAGGGGAAAAAACCACCCAAATACCTCTTCTCATACTGATTGGTCAGTGAGGACCCAAATATTCAGTTCTTCTGTGATCCCAAAGGTTACAAAGCTTTTCTTTCTTTGACAGCCAGGCTAAAGCATCACCTCTAGTCAGATCTGGGGTGTGACTCTTTTCTCTGACTGAGTACTCTAGGGAGGTACTTGGATAGCTGATATTAAGTTTTTTTTTTTTAAGATTTTCTTAAAAATTTCTTCATAAAGTTACACCTGTAATAAAATGGGTTTTTGCCAATTCTTGTTTAAATTGTGTGTAGTACAGTTCATCCATCTGCACACTCTGAGGGTGAAATAAAACCTTAACACTGGTGCTGGAATTTGGTGCACTTCTTCACAGAATAGTTTACAAATGCTTTTCCAGTCTGGTTGTGTGCACTTTGCCTGGCTGTAGGGTGTACTTCACAGCAGATGCTGGTAATAACTTGGCACATTTGAGGAACCACCTGTAAATAAAGAGAAGGGACTTAGCCCCTGCACTAATTCGAGGTGTGTAGTCAAAACACACAACCTTAGTCAAAGCTGTCATATTTGTAACTGGAAAAAGAAAGGATTAGTGAATACAATTGCTGTGCTCCCTAGCTTTATAGGTGAGGCAAACTGTGACTAGAGAATATTGTTCTTCTTTTGTTGACAAATCAGTTTACTCCTGGTCTGTTTATGGTAGCGCTGGGCATACTTTACAGAACAATAAACATGCTGCTGAAATTGTAATGGAAAAATTTGTGTGTGTCCCCTTTATTTACAGGAGGATAGTAAACAGGCTCAGTTTTTGGCTTTGGCAGTTGTGTATTTTGTTTCTGTGCTCATGGTTTCAAAGTACAGAGATATACTGGAACCCCAGAATGAGCGACGCCCACCAGACCATAGCCAGTCATTCAAGGGCTCAGAGAATGAAAACAGTGAAACTCCTGCTACAGGTGAGCTGTCAGTTATTTGGCCAAATGAAATAATATGGCTTATACATCTTAAAATTCTGTGGAAGTCCATGTGAAATTGTATAGACATATGTGCATTATCATCTTTTAAGTAAACATCATTGTTATTGGATTTGCCTTAGTGTTTGTGTGTATCTTTTTCTGATCTGAGAAGAACCTCAGCTGTAGGTGGATTTTGCTGTGTAAAGCTATGGAATTAGGTAAGTATTGATGAATGCTTGTTGCAGAAACATTACTATTTTGTGTAAGGTCAAGTAGACAAAGGCAGCTTTTTGTTTCTATGACTTTCTTTAGGGAAATCAGTTCATTTTCTTCCTTTGACTGTTGAGTCAGTACCTTCTCAATTTTTGGATGTTATAACTCTACAGGCTTCTCAGAATTTAGAAAGATATTTTTCTGGTTTAAGTTTCCTATGAAATATTATAATGTTAAAATCTCACAGTAGGCAAGAGGAAATATTATAGCTGTGTTATTCCACTTGACATCTCTTGGTGTTCCTTCTTTAGGTGCAGTTTGGTGAATGCAGTTCTGATAAGAATGATCTTAGAATGTGTTCTCTGTTTTGGTATGAACAGATGTGGAAAAACCTGCTGCTCTGGGTGCTTCACCCTCCACTGAAGATTCAGAAAGTACAGTGTCTGTACAAAGAAGGGATTCTGGTCTTGGGGAGGAACCAGCCTCAGGACAAACAGCCAGTTCTGGAAGTGTTGCTGAAGCCAGAGCTCTGGATGTCAGTGCAGGTCCAGATGCAGTCAGTGAAGTGCTGTGTACGCTCTCTCTAGAAGTAAATAAGTCTCAGGAGGAGAGAAGTGAGACAGGCATTGAGGACAGTAAACCTGCAGCTGCAGTGCCAGCTGCAAAAAATGTCAATGTGAAGGACATCCTCAGGAGCTTGGTCAGCATGCCAGCTGATGGGACTGCAGTGGATGCTGCTCTGCTGCCACCAGCCTTCCTTGGAGTTCTGGGTGATGGAGCTGCTGAGCAGTCTGTACCATTCCATTCCTTTGACAGGTAATGTAGTTTCTGATATTTGGGCTATTTCCTTTTGCTTAAAATGAAAAATTCACACTTGAGTTTGCCAGGACTCATGCACAGTGTCATCCAGTGCTTCACATAATCAAGATGCTTTGAAATACAAGTAGAACCTTTATAACAGCTTACAGAATTTTGATGTATATTAATAAATATCTGCCTTTCTTAATAGTCATATGCTCCACTGGATTTAAATTGGAGCATTCTTTTCCTTTTGGAAGTCCCTCTTTCCTGGTAATAGTTTTGGTGTCTCCTACATTTCAGTCTCATTATCTCCATATATTTTCCCATGTTGCCTTTTACTGTACTTACAGACTTTTACCTCTCCTCTTTCCTGGTAATAGTTTTGGTGTCCCCTACATCTCAGTCTCATTATCTCCATATCTTTTCCCATGTTGTCTTTTACTATACTTACAGACTTTTACCTCCCCAGGATTCCCAAAACCAACAAAGAAAACAAAGAAGAATTCAAAATCTCAAAGTAGATACTGTGTTCTGCTTGTGATGCTGAACAGGAGAGCTTGTTTTAGGAGCAGTAGGATGATGGGGGAAAATTTTCAGAGGGGGAAAATTGGGAAAAGGAGGACACTGGATCCAAACTTGTAGCACCTCTCTCTGTGCTGCTGCCCAGGTGCTCTCAGTACAGTGACAGCTGTACAAATTTTAGTACAAATATTAGTACACACTTTAGTACAAGTGACAGTTGTCTGGAGGTCTGGTACAGAAGCATGTGTTGCATTTTGGAATTATTTTTTTAGGTGGTGTTAAAACTGAAGGTTGGTGCTGCCTGTGCAAATCTGATGTGAATTGCTGTAAAGTGGGTTTACTATAGAGGAAATAACTGGACACTTGCAGTCCTGATGTCTACAATAGGTAGATTATGCCTATAGAACCTTTTCATCAGAGGAAACTCTGTGCTTGAATTTGATAACCTATACAGTAATGAAATACTGACCATTGGCAGCAGCCCTTCAGCCACTACCAGTTCTGTGTTCTTATTTTCTTTATAGTTAGAAAGTCACTCAAATAATGAAAAAAACCTTTAAATTGCAGTGTGCTTTATAAAGCAAGTCACTGAGAAGTTGAATGACTTGCTGTTTTGCCTTCACTTTTCCAGTGTCCTTAGTGATGTACAAGTCTCTCCTCTAGTCAGTTGTCACCCGGTAGTGACATGGACAATCTTGCATCTGTGGTACATACATTGATCTATGATAAGACATATTACTAACTAGCTAGTAAGAGAGTTAACCAAAAAGACAGAATAACTGTGTATATAAAACATATATTTAAAATTATAGAGAGAGGAAAGTTTCATGGCCACTTGAAGGTGTCTGTATCTAGTGTGACTGCTCAAAATACAAGTTTATGCTCTGAAATGACTCCTAGTGACAACTGGGAAGGAATTGTACCAGGGAGAGAGAAAATTTATTACAAAATATTGTACCAGGGTTAGAAATAGTAGCTCTTATCTGTGGTGTAGGCACAAATGCTAAGGAACATTGGGAAAGTTTGGAAAAACAGGCTGTGGGGTGCTCCTGTATTTTCTCTGTCTGGTTTACATTTAATATATTGTTTGATGGGTAACATAAGTTTTGTGAGTTAACTTTTTTTTTTCCCCTCTTTAAAGACACTTTGTTAGAAGTTGTTCCCATGTAGCAGTTTACCAGAGAGGGTATCTCTGGGAATTTCAAAGCACCTCTCTGATCCTGCATTTATCTCAGGAATGCTGTGTCAGAAATCAAAACTCTCCTCATATCTTAAGGATTATCAACTTCCCAGCCATAGCTGGAGACTATACAGTAACAGCTATGTGAGTGAAACTTTACTGAAAGGCTGCCAGGCTGCAAGCCTCTGCAAACAGCTAGGTGTGTGTGTTCATTCCCAGGCCCAAAATCTTCCCCTTATCTTACGTGAAGATACAATCGTGTGATTAGTGGGTGCCAGGGGTTTATCATGATAAAGTTCAAGATTTGCATTGGCTTTTTTCCAAGAGACATGAATTAATGCTCTGCTTTTCAGTGTGACCTAAACCAGCAGTTTTCTGATTTGGTAATAATCCTGCAGACCAGAAAGGGGAGTGGGGAAGGGGGAGGGCTAATGCAAACAGATTTAAATAAAACAGAAATAAAAATAACCAAAGTTTAGGGGAAAAAAAATAGAGGTTACATTTCTCTTCAGTTAGTCTAATAAAATCCATAACCTATCACTTGCTATTTTTACTGTGTAATTTAAAATAAAACCTTGGTGTCTCTTTCCTGGCTTCTGCTGCTCTTTGTGGAAATGTTCAATAATTATTTCATTATAGGGAGCTGATGCTGAGGGTTCAGAGAAATATAGGCTCTTAAATCACAGTCTTGTATCATAGAGCTTAAATCTACAGCTATGCTGTAATTTACAGAACAGATATGTTAATAAGCTTGTTTATCTTTTTGGAACATCATCTGTAAGCTGCTTAGTTTGGCTCAGCCTGTGTTTACACATTTGTCAGTCAGTGGTGTGCATGTACCTCTGCAATGGTTGGCTGTGGTATTTCAGTTAAATTTAATCAAAGTCCCTTTTTTATAAGGAATAAATACGTATTAGGCTTCATTGACTTGGTCCTTAAATATAAAAAGACTAAACTTGTCATTGACAAGATTAAGTCTACCATGGACAGATAGGATATGGAAATGGGGGATCTGCAGATCAAGGCACAGCTGCTGTGAGGAGAAGCTCAGCTCTTTTGGCACATCAACAATTTGCATGCTGTAGGGGCTGAAGAAGCAAACTGTTTGAAGTCTTCTCCCTGCCAAGCTGATTTTAAAGTTCTGCTGCAAAATTGATTGTATTCTTTCTATCATCTCTTCCCTTCCTCCCCACACCCCTCTGATCTCTCATGGTGTGGAGAGTCTCTTGTTCTTCCTTTCTCCTTGGGTTTTTCAAGGGGGACATAAGAGAATGGGTATTATCTACAGACAGCAGAGCTCAGAGAATGGCACTGACATGGCAGGCAGCTTTCCTGGCTCACAAGTCGAGGTAAAAATAAGTCTCTGATCCTCTTTATTGGTCTTATGCTCACTGCCTAGGAGCCCTGCAGTGGGCATCCTTCTGGTAGCATGGAACAAGACTAACTTCTTTTGGTTTTGAATTAGACCCATTATCCCCTAAGGAGACAGGCAAACTGCCACCTGTGTTGCTCTTCACTAAAAAATGAATAAAATCTGTATCAATTCCTGTATGTCAAGAGGAACTGGAGCTCGTGTAAGTATTTTTAAATTACAGTGAGGTCACCAGTTTGGCCTGGCCCATCTTGCATTAGGAATGTTTGACTTGCACCCAAGGAAAATTTCTAACTTGAAATGCATTTAGAATTCATTGTAGGCTTGCCAACTTAAAATATTTAGGAAAACATACTCAAAATTTAGGAGCTATTTATAGATATTTGGTGTCTTTATATTGAAAGAGAAGAACCGGTGATCTGAAACCAAGAAAGCTTTCAACAGTAAATCCTTATAGAATTTGGCAGAATGGATCATTCTTGTGTAAGCCTTTGTCTGTGGTGGAAGTCAGTGCTCAGCTCAGTGGTCTGTGTTCATTCAGCAGTGAATAATTGTCTGCAACACGAAGGCTTCTTACACTTCAGCATAATTGGGACTAATAACACACTGACCTTCTGGCTGGGATGTATTTATGGTGCCCAGTTCTCCCTATGCCTGACCTACGTTTAGAAGTTCATGTGCTGTAAATTCCTACTTTAAACCTTAAATATTTGATTTTAAATTTAAAAAGGCAAGCATCTCATATAGCTATGTAAATAAGGTAACTAAACTACCATTTTTACCACAGCTCATGAGGTCTGCTTGAAATGCACCTTGGAAATATTTTTTTTTCTGCATCTTTTCTAGTTTATTTTATTTCACCTGTATCTGAATATTACGCTAATAGATGTTAGAATATACAAATACAATGCAGAAGTAGGGGGTTAATAGATCTGGTGTGATATTGTGGATGTTAAGGAGTAAAATGCATTGACTGTTTTTTTGCACGTGACCCTCTGTGAGGTTGCTTAATGTTTGTTGTTGTTCTGATGAAATTAATGCATGATTACAGATATTTTAATAAAGGTATTTATATAGATTGGAGGAAATAGAGTATGAGGCCCCTTATTGATGAATATTTTATTCACATTTGTAGCAGTACTTAGGTTTTAAAGAAATGCTTGTCAGCTTAGCTGTGAAAAAGGACAGTTGTGTCTGTGTACTCTTTAAAAGAAATTGCCCTATTATTTGAGAGAAGTTGAAAGCACATTAATTTTTAAGACACTCTTCTGTCAAATGTACCTGATTTAATAATGTGCTGAACAGTCCATGCTTTCCACGTAGTTGTTTGACTACAGTATTTAATCTTGATTTTCCACTGTCTCATACATTCTTCCTGCCAGTTGCATTCATTTTACCTATATTAGCATTTAAATAATCTTTTGAAAGGGGGACACAAAGGAACATCGATGGTTAATGACAACTACTTCTGTTGGAACATGTTTGTGTTTCCACCTAAAGATTCAGAGAAAATACCATAGTGCTACACAAAGAAGGAAAATTTCAGGAATTCCAGAATGTTGAGAAAGAAACAGGACCAATGTTTATGCTTCAAATATCCTCATTAGCTTTTTGGTGCTTGGTAATTAGGAATATGTGATTTCCAGGCTGTGCTTTCATCCTTTGAAGAAATGTAAACTTCCATTTCCACTTCCTGGAACTGGAAGTGTCCAAAAGAAATCCTGCAACCCTAACACTGGGCACGTGCACCACTCAAAGGGAAGCCACACCTAGCAGTAAACATTGCCTTACAAATGGGGCAGCAGTGCAGAGCTGTGGAGGAAATCATGTTGAGATACTTCAATGTTTTGGTTTGCTGTTCTTGAGGTCTTTTAAAAAATTATTTATTATTTATTTTTAATCAGAGGGTTGTGGCAACTGCCCAGGACACAAAGAGAAAGTGTGTTCACGATTTGGGGTTTCTTTACATCACCTCTTTGGACACTAGCCAGTGGTTTTTTTGGCTCTATACTTTAAATTGACACAGCTGTCAGGAGAAGGGACCTTCTTTCCTCACTGTAAATGCTGTTTGTTGTATTTTGGCTGGCAAAATTAGAGTAATTTCAGTTGACTATTGAAGATCACTGTCTAAAATACATTCTGTTCAGAACTAGACCATGACTAGGAAACAACTTTATGGTGAGTTGTTCAAAGCCTCTTGTTTTCTTCCAAGGTTCAGATTTTTCAACGTGAAGCAGCAATTTTTTCCAGCCCCTGGACTGTGGCCTTTTATCCTGCTGGGTAGTTATGGAACACAGCAGCAGCCTTTGGCTGTGCTGCATCACAAAGACTCTGAATCCTTAAGCCAGCTTGTAACAGAGGGGATCAAGTTCTAACACAACCTTTAAATATAGGAATTATTTCAGAATTTATGAAGTGGTGGGAGTTTTTTAGTTTTAAATTTATTTTTTTTTTAGCTGAAAGCTAGAACTTCTTTTCCAGTGGGATATGATACCCTAAATTTCTCAGAAGACTTTGTGAGAGTCACTGTCTCTTGCTCTAAGCATGTGGTGACTGTGGAACCCAAATGTGCACAGCCCTGTGTGCTGTTTATAAGGCAGTTTATGTTCTGTATGTTGAAGTCTGAAACCTGCACTTCTTCATTTCTGTTCCTTCAATCAAAGCAAAAGGAATGATGTTGGATAATTAAATTAAAAAACAAAAAAAGCCTGCTAACAGCTCTGTATTACTGCCATATTTCTGGTGCTACTAATCAGGGTGTCTTCCTTTCAGTGAATGCAATTTCTAGATGCTGAAAATTCTAATGGCAATGTTAGAATGTCATTCCTTTTCTCTGTACCTCATGGGAAGTAGGAAAAAGAGAGTAGCAGCTGTATTTGTATTCCCAAACTTCCACAGGTTTGAAGGTGAGAAAGTATACAAGAGATCTGGAAAGGGACTACTGTGGCCATTTATTGCTGTCTGTTGCAGTCCAGGGTTAAAAATGAAAAGTCTTAATTCCTTTGCTTGAATGCACCTCTCCTTGGGTAGCTGTAGAGTCTGGCAGCTTGCTGGAACTACTCCCTCAGTGAGGCTACACTGGAGCATGCTGAAGGTCACTAGGAGTTTACAGGAAGGAATGATAATACATAGAGTTGTGGCAGGTTATAGAGGTTTTTTTAAGGTGTGGGTGTGGCCCTTTATGACTTAAAATACCACTTGTTTAGTAGTTCCTGAGGCTCTAGTAGAGTCAGAGGGTAGCATCAGTAGCATTCATAGCCATGCAGAGCACACAGCTATTCTCATTTGATGTTTTCATAGATTTCTGATTGACTTTAAGCCCTGAAAGCAAAACAAAAAAATCCCTTCCCTGGAATATTTGGTTTTACTGTCAAGGTAATTTGGTGTTTTCCCATTTAAAATTGATTCCATGAATGATGTGTTTTGAACAGCTATTACCTATATGTGCACAACTACCATCTACATGTGCACCAAAATTTGTCACTAGACATTCTCTCATATCACCCTGCATCCAGTATAATCCTATGTATTCGTTAGCTGCAATTGGTTAATTGTTTCTGTAACTTTGTGTGTAAGGAAATATTTCCAGGTCATGCACTGAGACCTCATAGAATCCACAGGAATAGACATATATTTGTAATACATCTGGATGATTTGAACTTAATATTATTGATCAGGGTTTCTGGAATTGGATGGCTGTACAAGAAAAACTGAAAATCTGTAGAAGAACACTCCTGGGCTTTAGTGCTGGATCATGAATGTTGGACAAATACCCAAAAGTTGTGTGGGTGCATCTTGTACTCAGTAAACTTGTAGTAATTTCCAAGCTCATTCCAGTATTTGAATGTATGTTTTAGAATAGTGTCAACAGCTTCCAGACAGTGAATGTCACAGATCCTTGGGTGAGAGATCTTCTTACTCTTGGGTAATGCAAAATTAATTGGTAAAGTGGTTAAAGACAGTCTAAATAGATGAATTTTCTTTTTTTTTTAGTGCATTGCTTATGTTTCAGGGAAACCACCATGAACATAAGAGCAAAATTCATGGTTTGGGCACAGTATCTGGACTTGGGGCTCAGGTGGCGTTGCTTCTATTTTTTCAGTGCATAGTTAACATTAGCAGTCACCCTTATAATGATGTGACATGTACTGTCTCCAAGTATGGTGCCTGCCTACTCCTGCCATTAAGGAGGGTTGATTTAATCAGTAATGTGGTCTAGCTTCTGTGGCATCCCTTGGACAGCAGAAGGGAGTCAGAGTCTTTTTTTTTCCCATTCCAGCGAGAACTATCTTAGAAATATTTGACAGAACTTATTTGGTGGTTGTTACCACACCTGAATTTGGGCCAAGTTTCTAAGTTACTTTATAAATAAAATGAATATTTTAAAGCTATTAAGGGAGTACTTTCAGTGTGTAGTTATAGTACTGTCAACAAAAGATGTGATTAAATAAATTGAATGTTGAAGACTTTCGGCTTACGGTTAACACCAGGTAATTAAAAGTAAGCGCTGCTGTGGGAGTGCATTATATATCAGCTGTACTCTTTACCTCATTAGCTGGGTTTTTGCATGTTTATGGAGCTAACTTGCAATTAAAAATGCCTTTAACGTGTGCTTAACAAGGCCTTTTAGGTATTTGGAATAAAGCACTACAATTTAATTGAAATTGGTATAGCATAAATAGATGTCTTGCTAACGTGAGATAAATCTCCATGCTGAACTTGTCACTTTGCATCTCTTCCTCTTGTGTAGCCCTTAATGCTGACTGTAAAGCTCAACATTGAACTTGTATAAAAGATGGAGATTCTCTCTTTAGCTCCAAAGAATGTTTTGGTTGTCATAGAAGTAAAATTTAATTGAGAAGATACACTCAAATTCGTGCCTTAGCCTGATTTTTAAGAGGTGTAAATGTTTCTCTGTGCACATGGATACTTGTTAATATGTTTTTAGCTACAGGATATTCTTCAGTTAGTCTCCTGTCCTGAATTAGAATATCAGGAGTAGTATACTGTCAAGGCAACCTTCAGTGTTTATAATTTATCTCAGGAACTCAATTTTGAATAATGTGTATTCTGTAAATGGTTACCTGAAGTTTAAAACTAAACCTTAGGGATACTAAGGTGAAATGGGAAGCCTGGTCTCCTAACTGTGTGCTGCTTTGTCAGGGGTTTTCCAGAAGTGGATGAGATATTGAAGTGTACCATAAAACCTACACAAGGATGAAGGGTCCTTTAGGTTAAGGTAGATTGCCAAAGTTGAGGGGGGAAAAAAAAGTGAGGAGGAAATGTTACTTCTGCAGGGCATAGGGGTGTATGTGCAAACAAGGATCATTATGTGGGAAATTTCACACATTATTATTTACTAACTTTTTGTCCTCACCTCTTTGTCAGGGGTTTTCCAGAAGTGGATGAGATATTGAAGTGTACCATAAAACCTACACAAGGATGAAGGGTCCTTTAGGTTAAGGTAGATTGCCAAAGTTGAGGGGGGAAAAAAAAGTGAGGAGGAAATGTTACTTCTGCAGGGCATAGGGGTGTATGTGCTGGATGTGTAAACAAGGATCAGTATGTGGGAAATTTCATACATTATTATTTACTAACTTTTTTTCCTCACCTAGGAGTGTCATCGTACCACCGAAGAAATCAACCCCTTCATCTTCTGCAGCTGCTCTGGGTGTCCCCACAAATGCTGTCAGTGTGGTTTCTGCTTTAGATGCAGCCCAAGCCCCAGATGTGTCAGGAGACTCTCCTGGTGAGTCAGGTTATGTTAACCTAAATCCCAACCCTTCCTCTCCTGCTTCTCCATCTCTCACCACTCACTCTGAATACAAATGAAAAGGTTTTTGTTACATGTTTTTTGTTATGTGAAGATGAGACTCTTTTCAGTTATCTGTATCTCAAAGGCACCTTTTGTATCCTGCATACTACTCTGTGTATATATTGATACCTTTGTCCTGTGCCCTCACTGGGAGCTTCCAGTCCTGCACTGGATATCTGTGCCTCTAACAAAGACCAGGATCAGATACTGTACAGAAAGAGGCATGACTCTAGGTCAGTAAACTGGGCCAGTTGTCAGTGACATCATAAATGTTCATGAATAAAAGAATTCATCCTTTCTGACATTTTCTGAGAGTTTCTCCCCCAGATAATTTTATTAATTTTTGGTTTTGGTGCTGTAGCTACACAAATGTAAAAAATAACCTGTTTATAAATTTTTAAAAAAACAAAAGTAGTGTTGCATTTAAAAAAAGAAAGCTTTGCTGAACTTTTTGGGGGCTCTCCTCTTGCCTTCATCTAGCAGAACAAAGGCAGACATCTGAGACATTTGTAGAATTTCAAGATTTCTCACAGGTTTTGCAAAGCAAGCATACTATGTTAACTTCTAATTGGTATAAATGTGATACATTATAAAGACTGCTTTTTGTGGCAGAATTTTTATTATGTAAACTATCTGTTTATTTATTAATTGTAGGGTATTTGTCCAAGGATATGTGTGTTAGTTCTGAGCAGGACAGAAAATTATATACAAGTGTTTCCAATAGCTGTAGCCTGAGGTCAGATTCAGTGTTGATGCTGAACTAATTGCTTTGGACAGTTTTTTCAGGGGGGACAAAATTGAGTAGGTTGTTTATAAGCAAGTGGTCCTTTGAACCCTTAGTCTCTCTGGTCAGTCTGTAGGAGATAAATGATGTTTAACCTTGTGTGCTGTGTCAAAGGCATGCTTTCCTACTTAGCCAGGTTTAAGTCACAAGACTGTAGGATCTCAGAATTGTGCCCATCAAGTTTAACATCAAGACTTAGAACTGATTTGCATCTTAATCAAGGAAATCTCAAGCTATGCCTGATTATTGGTGTTTCTTTTCAATACTTGAGCTTCTTGCTTCCTGTTTTTTTTGAACTTGCATCCAAATTGCAAAGACTGAGGAAAAAAAGTCATCCATTGTCATACCCTCTGCTACTCACGTGGCTACCACCTTCAACTGCCCATTGCATTTCTTGGGCAAATGAGAAAGGTTTTGTTCTAGCCTTGATAAAAGAAAAGCTATTGAAATCCAGTATGTTCTTACTCTTTGCAAAAGGGAGAGTCCATTTGGTCACTGAAATTGCAGGAGTTAGCACTGTACTAATCTATTACAATTTCTGAAGTCAGTATTCACATGCTTTCAATAGAAACAAAACAAATGAACACTGATTTTCAGATTTAGTCAATCTTTTAAGAACATATAGCAGAAAAAATAAGTGCTTCTGTGCCTGTAGAATGTGTCAGAAGTCCAGACAATAAACAATACTGATGTAGTTTGTAACTCTGTGACTTCCAGCTTGTCTGGGAGTTTTGGCAAAAATTGGACATGTAATCTGAACTGATATGCATAAAAAGAAACTAATCAGGATTAAAAATAGTAGACATGTTTAGACTGGCCATCTAATTAATTAAAAGAAAAAGTTAAGGGATAAATGAAATCATGCCTGTAACAGATTAAAACATGAGACTGTTTCGTTTTTCCCCCGGTAAAATAGTGGCATGGAAACAAAAATTTTGCAGAGTTGGAGTGGTTTACACTTATGTTGCTCACATAAACTGCACACATTTAAGTTTAAAATAAAGAATAACAGTATAAGGCCTTTAACCACTTTATTTGAGGATGCAAAACCAAAATATAACATATATATGTAATTTTCCCCTGAATTCAAATCACATGTTCTTTCACCAGTTTTTCTTTCATGCAGCAGAGAGTCAATACATTGTTTGTCTTTTTCTAAGCTGACATTCCTTGTAAAGCTTGTTTACTTTTTTAATTAAGAAAGCAAATGAATTAAAACCTTTTTTAGAATGTGCTGAGACTAGAGCTTTGTGTAGTAAATATAAGTTTGGGGCTTTTTCACATTTTATATGAAGGCTACTTATTAAAAATTGTTGCTTTGTTTAAAAATACATTTCAGCTGTTTTTTCTGAAGTCAGGGAATTTTTTTTTGAGTTTTGTAAGCATTTGTTTGATATGTTTTAAAAGCTGACTGAGCAAACAGAACTTTAATATAATAACATATAATGCTTTACTGTGGAGACTTGGGTTGATTTACTCCAAAATGGAGATGAAAGAGGAGCTACAGATACAGAAATGGGATTAAACAGCAAGTGATAGTGTTTGAGTTGTAGTGTGTACATAGCATAACTTCAGAGGAAGTTTTATATAGTATGTGAGCACCCTCACCTGTAGATGGGAGGTCAGAATTGCTTGGTCAAGGTAGGATCTATGTTGAAATGTTAGTCAGCCTGTGTGGTTCCAGATGCCCCCACTGCCATTTGTGTGCTTTGAATTCATCATCCCCCTCCCCAGTATTTCTTTTCCTGAAGTTTGTGCCTTGCCTGTAGCTCAAGGTCTGTCAGTGTCACAGATATTTGACCCCTGAGATTGTCCTAAGCTCCTATCAAGTGGATGTGACATGTCCTGGCCTACCAGCTACAAAGTGTTGACAAGTTGGAAGGATAACCATCTAAGATCACTCTGTTCCTCCCATGCTTTGGAAGAGGGTGAAAACATGTTTGGGCCTCAAACAACCTGACCCTTCTGCAGAAGTTTCTTCACCTCTACTCAGTGAAGCCACTGAGTATTGCCCAGCACAAAAAGCCTTTCCTGAAGCTAGATGTGCCCATTGTGGTCTCAACATGCCCATCAGTGTGTCACTGAGGGTTGATACTTGGCTTGTTGGTCTGCTGGAACTGCTAATCCACTTGTTGAAAGATCTTGGAAATGAACAGAGAAAATAAAGCCCACGTTGTTCGTGGCCCATGTTGATCCAACCATCTGGCCTTTACAGAAGGTGGTACTGAGCAAAAGAGAGTATTTACTAGTAATAATCTAAGGAGGAGAAATTTACTCAGGTTGTTTCTTCTTTGGGCTGGCCCATAGGCTGAATGTGAGATTTGGTGCAGAGATTTTCCATGGGCTGTGTCCAGGAAGGGCTACTGGAAAGGAAGGGCTGACATTTGGGTAGACAGAACTTGGGACAGTTGTCTGAGCTAGTGGGGTGATTGTATTTTTGGCACAGAAGTAGTGTTAACATTTTGGAACTCTTTTGCACTTCATGTTCTCACTGTTTTCTGGGATGGTCTGAGTTTCTCTGTTCGTGTACTTGAAGAATTTCACATGCCTTTTATTAGTGCTTCACTCTAAAGAATGCAATTTTGAGGTTTTCATGATTCAGTTTTCAGATGGTTGTTTGAATATATTTTTTATAAAGGGGGAGTATGAAAAGTTTGTAGGAAGCAGGAGTGAATTACATCTTGTCCTTACTGAGTGTAGAAAACACTGAGAAATTCCACTCAGTTGCTGCTGCCTGCCTCCTCCCCCTCTGTCTCAAAGTTCTTTGAGTTTCACTTGTTTTGCCCCTGAGCCACACAGAGCTGCCAGCAGGATTTCTGCTCCTCCTGAGCAGAGACTTGGACTATTCCCCAAAGTGTGAAGTCATAAACAAGGCCATGTCAAAGGCTGAGGTGAAAGAGGAGGTGGATGCTTGGAAGAAACCTGGGAATAAACAGTAACAGGAGATAAAAAAGGAGTTGTGACTCCTGAATTCTAGTCCTACATATAGGGAAATGTAAATTTTAGCCCACAGTTGGCTTGTTTTGCAAAAAAGAATGGTTGTATTGATTTTTAAATGTAGGTGAAAATCACCTTGAAGTGTTGCAATGAAGTAAGTCAGAGGGAGACAAGGTAAAGTAAGAAAAATGAATGTGAAGTGAGTTACCATCAGTGCAGAGGTAGTTCCAGAAATTCACTGGGTAACTATTTTGAAGAGAATTCCAGCTTTACAGTGGAAGGGTAGTTGAAGGCTGGTTACCAGAGTGGAGTGGCACTTCTAAAAATCTCAACTTATATGCAATGGGAATAGGAATGGTTTAATACTCTTTCAGTATAAAAACTGTTTTAAAGCAACTTCTCTTCAGAGAGTGCACCATTGTTCCCTGAAATCTGTTTTGGTTTAACCTACAGATGTGTTTATGTAACAGATCCCTTATATGAGCTTGTAAACCCTTTCACTGTAGTCTTGCATCGTGCACTTCAGCCCCAGAAGTGTATTTTTGAATGAGTTCATGATTTTACTAGATACTGCTTGCAGAAAGGGCATCAGTGTGTTTGTGTATGGTAATCTCTTGTACAAAATTAAGAGGTAGGGTTATTTAATTCAACTCTGTTATTTTAATTCATCTCCATCCTCCCAGGGTGAAGCATATCCTGCACTCTTTGTGTATTGCCAAGCACACTTTGTAAGTGTACATGCAAAAAAACCCATAAAGATCTTGCATAAGGAGTTTCTTTAACAATATTTTATTGCTAGAGACATTATTTGTTTAGACCCTTGGGGACTTTGAATAAACAATAAGGCTTCACTGTAAGGGTGCTAGACAGATGATCTATTTGCATTTTCTTTTATGTTCTTGCAAATGTCTGTAAAACTGTCAGTTTGAAGGAGCCAGTTTATCAGTGAAAGGATAAGGAAGAGATAAGTCAGTTTAGTTCCACATGTTTGAAGTAGCTACTGCACTTACCCACATGTGTCTTGTGGATGAAAATGTGCTACTAAAGCATTTTAATTTTTTTTTGTTTTTGCTAAAGGCAGACAAAATCGTTGAATAAAAAGCCACTTCTGAGTTATATACAGCCAAACAAGTACTTCCACAAAACAAAACCTGAGTGCAGAAATCACTGTGCCTAATCCTATCTGAAAAAAAAACCCCTTGAAATTCTCAGCTGTGATAAATCTGAGATTCACCCCTTTTAGTGAAATGTATCTGAGTTTGGAATGTGGATTTAGGTCATGATAAGCATGAAGAAATTCAGGTCATAAATATCCTTACATAATCTTCAAAAAGAATATCAGTTTATCTAGGTGCCTGCCTTATGCTGTTGTCAAATTCAAATTATCAGTGCTTTTTCTGTTATGTCTATATTTAAAAGTTCATTCTGAGTTAAAACTTTGGAGTTTTACACTTATACATAATATGTGATGCACAATTTTTTATTTGTAGAAGAAAAAAACCTCATGTCCTGTGGTGTCAGTCTGTACACTGTTCAACTACCTAGATGACTGTTCTGCTCTTCCCTTAGGGATGGTGTATTAAGTCCACGTCTGGGCATGTGAGCTGCAGAGTGTTTTTGAGTTAGAGGGACTTGTTTAGTGATAATATGGATGTTGGACTTCAGGGAGAGAGCTTGGAGTCTTAATGATATTATTTAAATGTAAAGGTTATAATGAAAATGAAATAATTGAAAGCCTTAATCCAACAGGCAGTGTATTGTGTGAATGTATGTGTGTGAAAAACAAACCAACCAACCAATGAAAAAAAAAGACAACCAAAAAAACCCCCAAAAACCAAAAAGTCCCCACCCCAGGTTTTTGGAACCACTGATTCATGTGGTTTATTGCCTCCTGTGGGACTTGTTTTTTTCTGTACAGGAGGCTCTGTTCTAATTTTTGGCCTATCATTTGACTGCTTTTCCTTTGGGCGTGCCCAAAATGCTTTGTGGTGGTTTGATGATGTAAAAGTAGATCTTAAAGGAATTGAATGATAGTGATGAAAAGACAGAAAATATTTTCAGAATCAAGCCATTGAAATTTTCAGAATTATACCTTTGATTTGCCTTTATTAGGTAAATTATTTAGGGAACTATGCCCAGAAGATTCAGATTCCACCTTGCTTTCAGCTAACACTTTGTTCCCCACTTTCTTTTCTTTCATTTTGTATGGTCCAGTCAAAACCTCTTTCTGATTGCATCATTCTATACAAAGACAAAATAAGAGCTTCATGTGGAATTTATGAAAAATTTAAGTGCATTCCAGTCACAGAGATAGCTCCTTCCTATATAAAAAGAAATAAGATTCCACCTTGCTTTCAGCTAACACTTTTTTCCCCACTTTCTTTTATTTTGTATGGTCCAGTCAAAACTTCTGACTCCCATCATTGTATACAAAGACAAAATAAGAGTTTCATGTTGAATTTGTGAAAAATGTAAGTGACTTCTAGTCACAAAGATATCTCCTTCCTATATAAAAAGAAATAAAAGCAAAACTTTTCACCATCTGATGCATTAGTTTGATATATTAGTTTCTGTGCTGCTTTAAAGCAAGATTACAGAAAAATGTCTGCCCCACATAGGAAAAAAATATCCCTACAACCCCCCAACATTTCAGGGGGAAACTCTGTGACTGTTTTTGAGCAGAAGCTTGAAATTTTCATGATAAATAAACTTAACATTGCAGGAGTCTGTTTTTACCATCTTTTTATGAATCTGTTCCACCGAGAAGAAATCTTCTGAAAGGTTGCAGGTGGCACATTTTGGTAGACACTTTTAAGATCTCAGCTTATTTCCAGACAGGTTGCAGTTAACTGAGCTGGCTCCAGTGTAGGTGGGGCAATCAGGAATCTTTCTATAGTTACAGTTCTGAGAAGGGTCAAATCTTTGCTGAGGTAGATGTGAGAACTGAAATGATTAAACTCTTTTCTTTCATGTGTGGTTTTTTTTTCCTTTTCTTCTCCCTCTCTTTCTTTTCCCTTTTCCAGCAGTGTTTTTGGCGAGGTGAGAGGAAAGAGAATAGGACAGGGTCTAAGGTTGGAAAGAGATAGGATTGCAGATGGACTAGAAGCAGTTATGCTCTTGGGAAATGCACAGAAATCTGTCTGCTAAGATTCATTCCTTTCTATAGTTTGGAATGCAGGGCAAGATTTGTGAGTCACTATTCCTATCCTGGCAGCAAATATCTGTGAAATCTCTGGCTGTCTTGCTTTACCCCCTTTTCATCATTGCTAATACCAATCCATACTGCAGTGTGGAGCTTGTATTTCTCTTTATATACTGAGCATCAGAATTTAATATTTACAGATTCCTGCTCTGCTGATGAGAGCCACGTAGTGTCAGTTTGACACAACACAACTGCTTTTGTTTGTTTGTAAGCAGAGAATACAGAAATGACCCAAGTTTTCCCTATTAACCCTTGCATAATTGATGTGGCAAAGTTAATAACTCATAAATGAGGTTATATCACTGCCATCATGCTAATGATGCTGGAGGATTTTATCATATGCATATTTTATCCAATGGAGGATTTTATAATATCTGTCTTTGTCAGAGTCCCAGTGATGCAAAAATATAAGGCAGGCTGTTGAAAATACCCACTCATTTTGTATTCTGTTCCATTTTGACACAAATATGTTTTAATTTTAAACAAAAAAAATTACAGGTTTTCTGTTTAAGTTACTTGAAATTGGATGAGCACCTCCAGTAACTGAGAGAGATGCTTTAAAATGGTACCATTTGGCTTTATGTTAGTATATGCTAGTACACTGCAGGAGTATTAAGGGTGTAACACATTATTTGTATTCACTTTCACATTACTCACATTTGAATTACTTTCTGTTTGTGCTAGAGGAAAAATGAAAAAGCTTGCCATGGTATACCTGGTAAATATGAATGTAAGTC